ATCCGCACAATGGAATAGCAATCAGAAATAAAAAGGATGCTAAGCAAAATAAGTCATACAGAAAAAGTTGAGAACCATATGACTTCACTGATATGTGGAATATAAAACTGAAAGCAACAAAGGAACAAGACAAACAAACGAAGAAACAAAAACTCACAGACACAGACAACAGTTTAGTGGTTACCAGAGGGTAATGGGGAGGGGGGGCCAGAAGAGGGTAAAAGGGATCAAATATATGGTGATGGAAGAAGAACTGACTCTGGGTGGCGAATGTACAATGTGATATATAGATGATGTATTACAGAACTGTACACCTGAAACCTATGTAACTTTACTAACCATTGTCACCCCAATAAACTTCAATTTAAAAAACATATATATATATTATATATATATATATATATATATATATATATATATATATGTTCGACAGCATGGATAAATCTCAAAAGCATTATGCTGAGTGAAAGAAGCCAGACACAAAATACCACCTACCTTATGCCTCCCTTTACATGAAATTCTAGAAAAGGAAACTACAGAGAAAGAAAGGAGCTCCGTGGTTTACTGGGGCTTTGGTGGAAGAAAGGAACTGATTTCAAATGGCCATAAGAAAATTTTAGGGTGATGGACTGTTCTATATCATGATGCTGGTGGCTGTCACATGAGTCACAAATGTCATACATGTATACATGTCACAAAAAAAGAATATATGTCACAAATGTCACATGTATACATTTGCCAAATCTCATAAAAGTACTCACCTAACATTGAAGAATTTTATTGTATGTCAATTACACCTCAATGAAAAACAAAAATTCAAAAGCCTAGGAGTAATAACAGTTGTATAAATCTAAAACGTGCAACAAATACAGTAAAATACCAAATGTTAATAAGTTATTAAATTTGGATGATGGATTAGGAAAGATTCATTACATTCTTTCTATTTCTCTGTATTTTCAAATTTTCTTTGTAGAAATATTTATATATATATATATATATATATATATATATATNTATATATATATATATATATATATATATATATATATTTCTTTACTATCAATCATTTCCACCATTACATATAGTGACTTTTTGAAATAAGTTTGTGGCCCCAGCTAAGACTGAACTGCCATGACTGTTGAAGCTACTGCCATTGCTTTTAAAAAAAATAGTCTCAGGAACAAATAGAAAACCAGGTAGTAAGATCAGTATTGTTATTTTAGTAGTGTGAATGATTCCTTTATTCATTTTTTCTTTCCTTTTCTTTCTTTTTGGTGCCAAATTTGCAGTTTTTTTGTTTTGTTTTGTTTTTTTGGTGTTTTATTTGTTTTGGTGGGTTTCTTTTTAACATGATTATTCAGATTATTTCCCTTTTTTATTTCCTTTTAATTAATCAGTTGGTCATCCTATTTTTAGAAAATAAAGGTGTAAAAAGAACACGTTTCACCTTTCTCACTCTATAAAACAGTTCTCTAAGAAACTGGGTAACTATACAAATATATTAAATTATAGTTGAAAAAAAATTTTTTTAATTAAAAAGAGAAAGAAAGAAAGAAAGAAAGAAAGAAAGAAGGAAGGAAGGAAGGAAACTGGGTAAAGCAGAGAAAATACCAAGGCTGATTAACAATTCAGACTCTTAGTTTAAAAAAAAAACTCTCTGAAGCTCTATGATATATTAAATACTCATTAAAATTAATGAGAATGTTTTTATTCTTACCTGTAAATTTTTTTTTTTAATGCATGGTTTAGATAGGAAAACTTTAGTCTTGCAAGTGTTCTGTAAGTGTTAAGAAGTCTGGAGGGACCATATGAGAGAAAGTGAGAATGTGTAGACTGTGTGAAGAAAAAAAATAGAGTATGATAGGTAAAAAGAAAAAAGATATCACAGCTTTTCTGCTTCTGCCTTTCTACCAGTCTTTCACTAATGTTCTCAAGTGAAACACTCTTCTGAAAGTAAAAAAAAACAATATTTTATTTTATGTCAAATACATAAAAACATATTTTCAGAGAGAGAATTTTCTAATTATCTACTTGTCATGGTGGAAATGATCAATATTTGATGTTGGTGGGGGGGAATCATTTACATCTGTTCATGGTTTCAAGTAAACAATTTTCTTTTTTAAAAAAAATGTATGTTATATATAAAAATTATCATACTTCCTGTTTTCTTTCCCTAACCTAATGGAAGGAAGGAAGGAAGGAAGGAAGGAAGGAAGGAAGGAAGGAAGGAAGGAAGGAAGGAAGGAAGGAAGAGAGAAAGGAGAGTTCTTCTAATTTATTAATGGAGAGGGTTTACTACAGCACTCCCCACAGAACAGAGAAAATAAATACTAATACTGGAGAAATGAGGACTAAAAGAGTAGCTAAGACTGAAAGTTTCTCTCTCAATTTAGACCAATTCTATTGAATTCCCATTCAATGTCATTGTATCCCCTTAGCAAATGATTTTACTACAATGTCTCAAACACAGTCAAAGCACTCTTGAATTCTCTTCGGAAGTCCTTCACTTGTACCTCTGAGGCTGTCAATGTCAAACTAGAAATTCAAGAGCCACTCAGATAACTTTTTCCTTTGACAGTAAACAACTGCTGCTACATTTTACTTGCCTCCTTTTACCAAACAATGTTATCACCAAAAGAGATACAAAAATTCTAACATCAGGGATTTTATATTTGTATATGTGCTATCTCCTTATTAGACAAAACTTTACCACATCTTAGTACTTAGCCAAGAAATTACAGAAAAATCACATGCAAGATACAAATTTTAAAAGTGTGTTATCTACATATAATTTAAAAGATAACATCAAATGCAGTTTCATTGCACACTATGACAGAAAAAAATATTTAGTGAACATGCTATGCAGATGGCATTGGGCTAGGCACTGTGTAACTTAGAGAAATGTATGAGACATGATTCCTATTAAGAGTATTATTTTGTTAAAGAGAAAGATTTGCAGACATAAATCTCTAGGCAGCAGTGTAAGAGGATCATGGGGCAAGTCCATGACTATTGTAGATGGCAAAAGGAAGGTATCAATAAAATACAATGCTGCTTCAGAGGCAGTGATCTCTGTAATCTGTGGACAGCTCTGGGAAGGCACTCAGCATAAATCAGCACTGATTGAAAATCAATGCGTTTTGAGTAGTTTATCATACTGGAAAGGACACAAAATTCAAATCAGCCCCACATTGTGTAGAAGCAGGCTCTGCCAATCTCAAGTTCAGCATTAGTAAAATGAAACTAATACTACTTTCTCATTAAGTCAAACAATATAAACAAAGTGAATCTCAAACATACCAACTGTGATTAAATTAGAAGCTATTGCATTTACCATTATTACCGGGTTTTAACTACCGACTGTGGATTCCTGTCCCATGGAAATCTGCTTATTCTAGGCCCAAATCTCAATTTCACAGTCGTGTAAAATAGAGAATTCTTCTCATCATTGCTGTAGGATTCTTTCTCATGTTTCCCGCCCGCATCAATCTTGGCGTGAAGCACAGGCAACCCCTGACCCTTCTCCTCGACTGCACATTAAAATCCACTGGCTTCTATGCAGAGGTTGTGCCAAGAAATGGCTTGGGGAGAGAAGAGCCGCGTTATCCCCAACTTCTCAAGTTCCAGTCTCTATTAAAGTCCCTCCAAATAATCATGCAAGCTACGTAACAACAGCCAAATTGTATACCAAAGACAGCTTTGAGCTGAATCCCCGCTATCTGTCCTAGAGACTCTGCATCCTGCTAGCTACCAGCGGTGGGTTTGCAAGTGGTCCCAGCTCTACTGTCTGTCACCCGGGCCCTCCTCGGGGGACACTGCTCAGACCTCACCCTGAGATGCACCTCCAGTTCCCCAGGTCTAGTTCAGGGAATCAAGTCACAATCCTACGGCTCTGCCTTATTCCCTGAGGGCTTAGTTGCCGCTTTTTTGCCCTCTTATTTTTAGTTTTTGCTAATAGCAAAAATGTAAGGTTTCCCATAAATTTACCGAAGCTTCCACTCTGGAAAATGTCCCTGTAAACTTTTCACACTCATAGCATCATGTTCTAGGACAGCCCAATCTTTACAATCGACATTCCAAAGTAATTTCTGGGACAGTTTGCTGTAAAGGTACCTCAAAGGTGCACATGTATGAAGAAGTCTTTTCTCCTGGTATGTGGTCGGGCATCGCCAAAAAAATGTCCCAGAAACGTTTAGTTTACCAAATATTGAATATTTTCAGGCATTTTGTCATAGGAACAGACCCCGGCAGACATGAAGCCTTGTATGGTCCTTACAATCAGACCCAACAAACTTCAACTGCTGCTGCTTCTGCACCTCCAAGACCTCCCATGCTATATCATTTCAGCGCTATGTTTCAGCAACAACTCAAATCATCCCCCACTATCTAAGGCACCTTACATCTCCAAAATGTCTCCAATTGCTGGAACAAAGTCCCAATTATTTATGAGCCATCTATCTGGTTTTCAGGAAATTCTGTTTCATCACCTAAAGCCGTTAATAAGAGCTTGCTATATACCAGGAGCAGTAAATTGTGCTTTCCACATACTGTATTATTTAAACCTCAGATAACCCTCATAGGTATTTATCGATATCATCTCCATGTCCCAAGAGAGGAAACCAGGACACAGAGAAGTTAAGAAAATTTCTCAAGTGACAGCCAGAATTCCAAGTTATCCCCTGGTTTTGTACAACGTGGAATTAACAGAATTTGATTAACAATTAAGCTGGCCCTGAATCCATCAAAGCGTGTCTGCCATGTTCCTTCCAAGAAAGATTCTTTTTTATTAAATAAAATTGAGCACCATTCTAAGTCAAATAGCACCTCCGAGCATCCCCTGCATTGGTTTCTCCACAAGAAAATGTCTTGGGCCTCAGCGAGTAACATTTCAAAACACTGAGGATGCATCGATCTTTATCAGAAACATCCAGAGTCCAACAGACTATCCCATTGAATCTTTAGAACTGAACTCATAGTGAGTCCCACAACTTACCCAAAAATGGCATCGGTCCTCCCAGGAGCACCTTGTCTCAGGTGTGGCCAACTCGATTACCTTGCATCAATCACCCTGCAGTAATTTCAGCCACAGTGAGGAGACACTTCTGGTTCAACCTGGGGCTCATCTGGTTCATCTAGTTCAGTAATTCCATACAATAAAATATGTCTCAGATGAGAGCCAAAGCCGCCTCCCACCTAAAAAAAACAAAAAAAATTGAAAACTTGACGTAAGTCCTGTTTCTATGATTTTGTGATAGTTAAAAGGCTATTTTACAATTTCACTGTGTTCCTTAGTATGGCAGCTAATTTTATGTGTCAGCTTGTCTGTGCTAAGGGATGCTCAGATAGCTGGTAAAACATTATTTCTGCATATATCTGTGAGGGTTTGGGGAAGAGATTAGCATTGGAATCAGTAGAATTAAGAAGGGAGGCTCTCACCTATGTGAGTGGGCATAATCCAATCTGTTGAGAGCCCAAATAGACCAAAAAGGCAAAAGATGGAAAAATCTCTCTTTCTTCATGAACTGGGACATCAGAGCCTAGTTCTCCAGCCTTTGGACCCATGGGCTTACACCACTGGCCCCCGGTTCTCAGGCCTTAGGTTCTTAGGCCTCAGACTGTGACTTACACATCGCACTGCAGCCCCAACAATTCTCAGGCCTTCCGACATGCCCTGAATCACACCACCAGCTTTCCCGGTTCTCCAGCTCGCAGATGGCAGAATAGGGGCTCTTGGCCTCCATAAATAGGGGAGACAATTCCTACAATAGATCTCCACTTCTATCTAGCTCTATATACAGTTGACCCTTGGACAACACAGGTTTGATTTTTACGCGGACTTTTTTCACTACATTTAGTCAGCCTTTCCTATTGGCTGGTTTCTCATCCACAGATTCAACAAACTGCGCAGCGAACACAGTATTTTCACATTCACAACCGCAGGTTCCCAGCCTCAGACTGAAAGCACCTTATAGTTGGCTGAATCCGCGGATGTGAAGAGTCTGAAGAGTTGACTGTAGTTAAGTTTGGGGGAAATCAAAAGTTATATGTGGATTTTCAACTGCATGGGAGTTGACGACTCTAGGCCTCCCCCCACCCCC